ATAGTTGGAGCTTTTCTCCCCATCTTCTACATTTTTGACACTGCCGAATTAGAACTGGTGTATTCCACAAACAAAAGGGACGCGGGTGACACTGTGGGTTAAACCACAGAGCCTAGGACTTGCCAATCAGAAGGTCAGCGGTTCCGAATCCCCACAACGGGGTGAGCTCCCGTTGCTCGGTCCCTGCTCCTGCCAACCTAGCAGGTCGAAAGCACATCAAAGTGCAAGTATATAAATAGGTACCACTCCGGTGGGAAGGTAAATGGCGTTTCCGTGCGCTGTTCTGGTTCGCCAGAAGCGGCTTAGTCATGCTGGCCACATGACCCGGAAGCTGTATGCCGACTCCCTCGGCCAATAAAGTGAGATGAGCGCCCCAACCCCAGAGTCGGCCACGACTGGACCTAATGGCCAGGGGTCCCTTTACCTATTCCACAAACAGAACAATCTTTTCTAGAGGTTCAAAGCTTTCCAGGCCTGTGGGCACAATAGCGGTTATCTGTGTGGGTGGTGGGTGCTGCTTCTTATAGTCACTCCTCTGCCCCCCCCCCGAATCACAAATCTTGCTATCCCAAAGGATCTAGGTAAAAATGACAGCTGTTAGACTGGGTGTACACACTCCTACTTATTCTGCACCCAGTGCCTTCCAACCACATTAGCCACAATCCATATCTATCTTGTATACCGTCTTGTGAAATGCTGTACTTTGATGACATCCCCTCCCCCCAACCCCAAGCTTAGATCCAGATTGAGAAAAGCAATTTATCTGCACATTTACTCTGTGCACTGCATTCAAAGTCAACGGGAGTGAGAGTGCGCACACAGCCTTAATCCTAAACCTAACGGGAGCGAGGATCACTCTCCCAATTTCCTCTTTAAGCTCTGTGCACTTTTCAAGCGATATGAAAAGCAATCACGCCATGACTCAAGGGGAAGCCAAGGAGGTGGGACTCGGAGACTTTGTGGGTGTGAGGACTTGCAAGTGTGCAGGTGCATCACTAGAATCCATTGAGGCGTTTATTTCCTGCTCACTGGGCAGGAGGGCAGAAGTTTGCTGCAGACTGAACCTCCTCTCCCCAGGGGTAACCAAGTAAAGATGGGTTGCTCAGCCACCTCCGGATGACGGAGCTCTGCCATTTTTGCTGCACACAGGGAGAGGCTGGAACTAGCTATCCTTGCGTCCTGAGGTTCTAATCCAGCCACGCTCCTTCATCTTCCAAAAGGAAGAGGCGCTGCTGCAGAAACCTCGCCCCTTCCATGCGTAAGGGCAGCCCCGGGGTTGTGTCTCTCCACCCGCCTCGTTCCTGGTCCGCGCGGCAGGCGGGACTCCAACAGGTGCAGCTCGAGCCGCCCTCCGCGCGTGGCGGGGGAAGTCCCCCACTCCCACAGCAAGGGACGCCCCTGCTCCCCCCTCGCCCTCTGGACGCCTGACTCGGCTGCCCTGCCCTCCGAGAGACTCCCCGGGACGGTGGCGAGGATGGAGCCTTGGCCGGGGGGCGTCGGCGGAGAGACCGCGGCGTGGCCCCCGGCTTCGGCTCCTTGCCTGCCGGGCGGGCCTAACCCTCCTCGTGGCCTTTGCGGCCGCCCTCCCGGAGAAAGACGCCCGCCTCCTCTGGCCAGGCCCTGCCCCGCTCTCGGCTTCGGGAGGCGGCGTTGCCCGGTTCCCTCCAGGGGCGGGAAATTGGAAAGGGAAAGGTGCAAAAGAAAACAACCGCTCCTTTGAATAACTTTGTACTGCCTTGGGTTTAATAAACGAGGATCTTAGCGGATGCAGCTCACTAGACCCGAGTCTTCGCGTGTCGTTTCTTTTAAAACCATTTGGGGGGGGGGTATATAATTTTTATTGACTTTTCTGTTTTACCATTTAAAGCACTCACTTTTACATCCTTAAGATATCTTTGACTTCTCTTTCCACTGGTTCATTTTACATATCAGATATCCCTGCATATTTTACCAAAACAATATCATTTGGCATTCCATAAAACAACAGCATAAAAATACAGTATGTAAGAGCAGATAAAAATGGAAGAGATTCAAGCACAAAGGACTAGGTCCAATTTTATGGGTCAGGGAAAGGAAAAGTCTTTACAAGCTGTCCGCAGAAACCGAGGGGTAAACTGTAGTTCCTACGATTCTGGGTGCGTGACCGTGTGCTTTAAATGTGCTTCGCGTGTATGGCGTGGCTGTGACCTTTCATACATGCTTGATTTTCTGAGAAAGCTGTAAAACAACAGAGAGGTTTAAGAGTACTGCTGTAGATTTATGGTGAACACGATGGTTTGTAGAATCATGTATAAATTTCCAAGTTGGTCTCTGGCCAGGCCAGAGCACTTCTGTGCAGTGGCGTACCGTGGGTTGTCAGCACCCGGGGCAAGGCAAGTAATTTGCGCCCCCTAGAGTGAGTGAGCCAGGTAGGGGCAGAGAGCTGCGAGTATGAGCGCCCCCCCCAGATGTTGCGCCCGGTGCGGCCGGCCCCCCTGCACCCCCCACGCTACGCCACTGCTTCTGTGTCACGTAACCAGGGCCCAGAATATTGGTATCAAATGAGTGTCACATTTTGTGTCACATGCACTTCATTCTAATTCAGTAATATTGGAACTTTCTCAAAGAGGGGAATTACACGCACTAAAATAAATATTGGAAGAGGAAGTGTGAGTCATTGGTGCTCCATTCCCCAATATATATAATATATGTACATATTGGGGGATGTGGGGGCACCAGTAACTCACACTTCCTCTTCCAGTTTACTATAAAATGTTTCCTCAGATAACTAGCAAAAATGTGCATGTTCCAGATAACTGGAATTTGAAAATCTCACTGCAGGGGAAGGTGTGCCGTTCCCTTTCAGCAACATACCGCCCCGAAGTAAGAAAGAAATTTCCGCAAATTAATGTGGAAAATATTGCAAAATGCAATTCTGGACCTCCTGAAGATCTGGTTGAGAGCCAGTGTGGTGTAGTGGTAAGAGCGGTAGACTCATAATCTGGGGAACCGGGTTCGCATCTCCGCTCCTCCACATGCAGCTGCTGGGTGACCTTGGGCCTGTCACACTTCTTTGAAGTCTCTCAGCCTCACTCACCTCGCAGAGTGTTTGTTGTGGGGGAGGAAGGGAAAGGAGAATGTCAGCCGCTTTGAGACTCCTTAAAGGGAGTGAAAGGCGGGATATCAAATCCAAACTCTTCTTTTTCTTCTTGAATAGTTCTTCAAATGCCTGGGTATCGCTGACTTGCAGTGGCTCTGTAAGGATGTTTCCTAGCAGCCTTATGTGGAAATGCCTGGGACCCAACCTCCTGCATACAGAGCATGCACTCTGAAACGGAGCTATAACCCTACCCCAACGTGCACTTACTAGGGAGTAAGTCTTTGGAAGCACTCGGACTTCCTTCGAAGTAAACTTACTTAGGGTCAAACCGCATTCCTCACGATCAGGAGAAAACAAAAGGGCCTGACTGAACATGCAATATTGCATACCTAAAAGGTAAAGGTACCCCTGCCCGTACGGGCCAGTCTTGACAGACTCTAGGGTTGTGCGCCCATCTCACTCAAGAGGCCGGGGGCCAGCGCTGTTCGGAGACACTTCCGGGTCACGTGGCCAGCGTGACATCGCTGCTCTGGCGAGCCAGAGCCGCACACGGAAACGCCGTTTACCTTCCCGCTAGTAAGTGGTCCCTATTTATCTACTTGCACCCGGGAGTGCTTTCGAACTGCTAGGTTGGCAGGCGCTGGGACCGAACGACGGGAGTGCACCCCGCCGCAGGGATTCGAACCGCCAACCTTTCGATCGGCAAGCCCTAGACGCTGAGGCTCTTACCCACAGCGCCATCCGCGTCCCATTGCATACCTAGATACTCTCAATTGCAGAAATTGGACACATCTTTGTTTAGAGTGGCCTTTGACACTTGGCCAAAGGAATGGGCACCGATTTGTATACGCTGTGTGTACATGCACATTTAAAAAGTAGTTTATATCCTACTAAGTCATAGTTACTAGACCCATTAATTACAGTGATTCCGTATATGACTTAGCTGGATATATGATATTACCTTGAGTATGGTTGAAGTGTTAGGTTGCCCTATCATTCTACATGGGAATATTATACATCTCACTGTAGTGGGGAAGACTGTGGCCTGTGCATTTGTGCTTAGTCTGCTGCCAAGGTGATATCTGTTGATGGGCAACTTCAGTGCCCCGCTCTTCCTTCTGTATCAACCAGACCTGGAATGCACAGCCATTCAAATAGAGGACACCTTCATACAGAGAACTGTCACCTGTCCACATCTTAAGCCTCTGATAGCCCTGAAAACTGACAAATGTCTTCTGTAAAATAGGACTCCTGAGCATCTTATATTTGCTGTTCTTCTGCTGATGAGTGAATGTGATGCCATTTCTCTTTCATCCCGGCCTTTTCCACATTCTGCATAATCTAAATAGGATCCATTTGTTTGTATATTTTGGTTTCTTCCTAAACAAACAATGCAAAATTCAGAGACAGTCTTTTTTCAATAAAAAAAAGAAGTATTTTGTTCCCTATGTCTGGGAGTGCTAGAATGGGAAGCATCCATGTAATACAGCTTATTTAAGACACATGCCAGTAATGCATCAGGGGAGCACTTTACTTGATTTAGTTCTTAGGGAGGAAGAGATAGAGAGGTAGAGAAAGAGGTTGCATTGGAAGTAAGAAAGGGCACTGCAGGGACTTGAACCCCGTCCTGGAAACCAGGAGTGCCAACCACCAGCGCCTTTTGCTTTTTTGGGGGGGGGGACGGCAATGCAACAAGGTGAAAAGCAAAACCTGAGCGAACACTCTGAATATTGAATGTTCTCTCAGGAAAAAGAAAACCCTTAAGAGTTATGAAGTTGCAGACAGAACACAATCGAGGTTTTATCCCTTGCCAAGCTAGGGATATTCACCTAGATGTGTTTAAGTCACAGAGTGCCATTTTGACTGCCATTAATTTGCAGGGGAGAACAGAGAGAGAGGCTGGTTCCAGTCTTAAAACTCACCTTTTTGTTTGTCCCTCTGAAGTGTGAATTCATGGGCCTGGAAGTTCCTTCTGCTGGTCTGTGAAAAGCAATCTGGACTCATTAGCTTGTCACCAGCCCATTCCCGCCAGTTCTAGAGAAATGGAACACAGCTGTTCTGACTGACCTGACTTCTGCAGGAGGAGCTGGCTTCCCCTGAGTGTGGTGGGCTCTTGGACAGAACTGTGAAGAGATCAAGCGGACGGAAATGGAGAGGTCAGCACAAAAGGATTGTACTGAAAAAGATCACTGAATTGTGGAGTGTGAAGTTCACTTGCCGTTAAGTTTCCTGAAGGCTTGCAAAATTCCATTTCTTGTGGCACTGAGATGTACCTGGAAGAGACTAGGGTCTTCAGCAGCCCTCCCCTCCAGACACAGAGGAGCAAAAACAGCAGGTTACCTAAAGCAGCGCAGTCAAGACGCAAGTATCTCTCAGTCCTATGTTGCAGATGTTCACTTGATATATCAAGAGCTCTGACACTGCCTCTTACTTGTCAATTGAGCAGATCTGCTTCAGGCACAGGTAGCTTTGTGAGGTCTGTAAAAAAAAAGAGCTGGAACAAAGCAAGGATGCCTGTCCCACCAAAAGATGTACCTTATTGTGTGGTGATGGCACAGGAAAAGGCCTGTGTCCAGAGGGTGGCAACATGAGAAGGGGCCTTCTCTGCAGTGGCTCCCCACCTGTGGAATGCTCTCCCCAGTGAAGTTTGCCTGGCGCCTTCACTATATACTTTAGGCACCAGGCAAAAACGTCCCTTTTTAACAAGGCCTTTGCCTGACCTGATCTATATCCTATACCCTTTTAAAAATGCTGGCTCTCTTGGGGGGGGGTGTTATTGGGCTGTTATTGTTTGGATTTTGTGTATTTGATATTTTATGTGAACCACCCTGAGACCTTTGGGTATAGGGCGGTATAGAAAATAAACAAACAACTAACAACTTTGACAAAAGAAACCCCATTCTTCTTTTTATGAAATGGCTTCTCCAGTTGTATTTTAAAAGAAAAGCCTTCTATTTTCTGTATTTATTCTTCACTCTGCTTGAAGCAGACTTCATATCCACCTACCATTTCCCGTGCTCCTTTTCACACCCAATGACTTGTTGGTTGCAAGGTAAATAAACTTTATTTCGCCCCTCACGTTCTTTCATTTGTATTCGTTTTCCCTTGTATCTCTTTTTAAAGTGGTAAATAATAATTTTTCTGTGCCTTACAATTCCTTTGCTTACTTAAAAAAAAATTAACAATAGTTTTGAAAAGAAATCTAACCGAAACTGGTTTTTGTTTCCATTTTAAACCTGTTCCCCCAGCCTCCCTCTCCTAATCCCTCTGCTCATTAGCTCCTTCAGCTCTGACCAGTGAGAGGGCTAAAACCAGTACTATAGCCAGGGGCAGTCTCACTCACTGGAATCTGGCTCGCTCCTTCCACCATTGTTGGTCATAAAGGCACATAAAAAAGTCCCTCTGCCCATTAATATAGTGGATGTAAATGTGTTTGTTTTCAACATGGGGTCATTGTGCATGAGTGAGAAATTAGTGCCCACCCCAATCCCTAATAAAAGGGTTGCTGGGGTGCCAACTTGAATAAAATATTGGGGGGGGGGCAGTAAGCACCACCCTCCATAATCAATCACACGACATGGCACCCCCCTATTTGAATGGCAATACCCATCAACTTTTTTTGGGGGGGGTCCCAGTCCCTTCAAATATTTTATTGGGGAGGGGGCTTAAGAGGAGTTAGCTCTTAAATTGGGGTATATGTCGTTCCTGGATCAATGTCTTTGCTTGCTTTGCTATGTCTAGCACCTGCTGTGCCTTTGAACGGCATTTTGCCCATGTATCACACTGATCTGAGCATTAAAGATTTTGGTAGACTCTGCAGCCTGAGTTCGAATTCTTCACTGAGTGGGAGACGGGAAACTCTCCTCCACAGTGTGCTTTTCTGGAGATTCTCCTGACCCTCCCATAGCCAGTTTTTCTTGGGGGTGTGTGTGTCTATGCTCTTCCCTTTCCCAATAATAAGATGTTCTTATTCCTCCCATAATTTCTACCCAGTTGTAATTAAAAGTGGCACCATCAACAAACATCTCCCAAGGGATCACAGGTAGAAAATTGTCTTTCTTGCTTTTATTTTTTTAAATAAAAATCAAAGACTTTTCAATTCCGAAATTGGAAATATTATTTAACACAATATGAAGAGGTGTTGATGTGCCGGGCACAGGGAAACATTTTTGTATTGGATTAATTCCCAAACCCAGATAAAATAAAGTAACGGTTTCAATTCCTTTTGCCTTCTTAATCTTCTGAATCAAGATCAAAAAATGTTCACAGCAGTCCTGGTCAAAAGTTTGAGTGGTAACTCCAACCGTAGGAACATCTGCCCACTTTGGGCTTTGTAGGCCTTGGTGGCTGCTGCCTGTTGGGGCTGGTAGAGCAGAAGACAGGGGGGCCAACAGTGGCTGGCGCCAGAGCCAACGACAAGCAGGGTCTGTGTAATTCAAGTTTTGTGCCCACCCTCCCAGCAACACTGAGGCTAAGGCAGGGGAAGCTGAAAGCCAGGACCACCCCAGTGGTGGTTCTAAATAGGAGGACTGGCAGGAAGCCACTGGCTCTAATGGATCAGCCACCAATGGATCTGAGCTGTATGCCACAGCGCCAAACGACCCGCACAGACGAGGCTTGCCGAAGGTCTTGCTCTTGGGTCAGGGCTCTGCAATGCGCTTCCTCGGGGGCAGGGATTTCCGAGGGCAGATTCCCAACTGTAAGTTGCGTTTTGGATCGCAGCCCCTAGGAAGGGGCGCAGAAGCACAAGCTTTCCCCCTTCCAATTTTTCTTTCATTTGGTTCCCCCCACCCCAAAGGACCGAGGTGGAACATCTTTAGCTAGGGATAGGAAGAACCCTCTTTTCCTGAAACCCTAGCCTAGAGAACCTATCCATCATTCGGGGAGCCGGCGGCCCGGGCCTGAGCTGGAAGGAGAGGCGGTGCTTTTCGGCACAAGGCAACCGGCCTGGAATTGTTTCCCGCGCGCTGCGAAAGGGAACAGCTGCGGTCGCGCGAACCCTCCGGCGCTGGGAGGGGAAAGGGCGGAGTCGCAATCAGCTAAGGAAGGAAGCAGAGCACCAGCTGGCCGAGCGGTTGCGCGCAGCGTTGCGCTTTTGGAGAGCGTGCGGCCGCGTTGCGCGCAGACCTCGGCTGAGGCTGCGAAACGCCGGGCGAGGCCCGTTCCTCGGAACCCGCGAGCAAACAGCTAGGCTGGGAAGTCCCAGTCGCCGCCTCCGCCTCCGCCTCCCGCCGCGCCTTTTGGCACATCAAAGTCTAGTTGCAGAGCGCGCCTTGGGAAGGATACCTCCTCGCCAAGCGGCCGCCCTCGGGGGCCATGCGCGCCTCTCCTCCCGGCCCTCTGCAGCGCTGTGGGAGTCGCGCACGTCTCCTCTTCCCAGACCGAGTCACCGAGATAGCAGCGGGGGCCCCAATTCCTCTTGCGCCTCCGCTCTCGTCCAGCTTCGTGAAGTCAGCGGTCTGAATTTGAGCCGGGGAAGCCGGAGCAGCAAAAGGGCTCCCAGCCCAAGTCTTGCTTTTACGTGTGGAAGGAAGACCACCCATCGCTTCCGCCCCCTCCTTGAGTTCAGGTACAGAGCAGGTATGATGAATGTGCTGTTGAGCATGTGCAGAACGCCCTCCTCCTCTTTGATCAACTGTGCCCCCCGCGGTATCCGGCTAAGATTACATATTTGGGCATGTGGTTTGTCCAAAAATGGTCGTGTGTGTGTGTGATTGTGATGTATCCAACTAAACCCTATTCAAAATAGTCCTAATGGATCTAAGCTAGTCATGCCATTTAATTTCAGTGAGTCTTCTCTGGAGTGTGACTTAACAGTTGGAAGGGACCCACAGTATTTTAATTTTTTATTTTGATTACAGTATTGTTGTCAGTTATTCTCATTATTACTTATAAAATTTTACTTGTTTATTTAACTCAGTTTTTGAGTTGCCTGATAGAAATACAGTATTCTCAAGTCCAACATGTATGGTAAGAAGAGCAGACCTGAAGCACTCAGTAAAATAATGAAATCAAAAAGTCCAACCCATCAATCACACAGCAGCCAGAATCTAGTTGTAAAGTCCACCACAGACAAGGAAAAACTCCTGTGACTGATCCAACAACACTACAGAAGCTGAAACTGCCCAAATTGCCAAAAGTTCACAGAGCCTGAAATAAAACGGTATCAGTGATGCTGAAGAGAGGTGTTAAAAAGGCAGGCTGTTGTGATCAAGTGACAGGAAGAGAACAAAATAGAAAGTAATACCATTTCCACTGTTGAGTGCTTTTCCTTCTTGCATCCCAGGACAAGTGAACTGTTCTAAGAGCAATGTAGCTGAGATAATAGAATCATAGAATCGTAAAAGTGCTGGAAGGGACTCTGAGGATCATCTAGTGCAAATAGACATTCTGCAAGGCTAGATTTAAGGTGCCCCTTGATGCCTAGCCTACATATCTAACAGTAAATAATTTGCAGGAATGTTAGCCAACAGATTAGCTTCAATTTTACCCGCAGTTAAATAAAAAAACTAAGGAGGAGGATGCTGACAGTCTGTGCCATCTCTGGGGCTGATTGTAATAAAAAAAGCTGGCTGAGCACAGGCTGAGGTGGTGAGGCAGAGCCCTGTGTGCCCTAACAAACCAGCTTCCTGTGTGTAGGTGTATACATACATACATACATACATATGCACATATACTACACCTCTATAGAATCTTCTGCAAGCAAAGCCTGTGCTCCACCTGGGGTTAGTTTAACCTCCAGTTTGGTAGTAAAACTAAATTACAGTCTCATGAAATGAGGCATGTCTAAAAAGTGTGTCACCAACATGACAAGTTCTGAAAGTTCTGACTTAGTTTTAAATTGGGGCAAAGCAGAGACACAAACTATATTGCTATTTTGGGGATGGGTGGCCACACTGCCTCCCTCCTTAGTCTCAGCAGGGAGGTGGATGGGGACAAAAGTAGAATTAGTTGACTCTGTCTGCACATATTACAGTGGTACCCCGGGATGCGAATGGGATCCGTTCCGGAGCCCCATTCGCATCCTGAACAGAACGTAAGACGCGACAGCACGTCCGCGCGGGTCGCATTTCACTGCTTCCACGCATGTGTGTGATCTCATTTTGACCGTCTGCGCATGTGCGAGTGGCAAAACCCGGAATTAACGCGCTCCGTTACTTCCGGGTTGCCGCAGAGCACAACCCAAAAGCGCTCAACCTGAAGCGTATTTATCCCAAGGTATGACTGTATTTGGATCCCTTCCACCCTACAAATCTCAGCGGCATTTCCCCTTCTCCTGAATCTAGTTCCATAGGTCCTCCTGGATATTTGTTCTCCCCCTTCCCACCTGGAAGGTCTTGCAGCATTTTCTACCTGCACAGGAGGGATGGGGTACTAGCCTGCCTGGCCAATGGTCAGGGATGATGAGGAATTGTGGTCCAACAAAATATGGAGGGCCATAAGCTCACAGGTTTGATGAAACAGTCTTCCCACCACACCCACTGAACACACATACAGACACAAACAGTGCCATAAAGTGTATTGGACTTCACTTCCATTGAACTGACCATGCCCAGCACAAAGGATAATATCCAAGTATGAAAAATGGTCTGCAGCACTCCTTCCACTTTTCCTCTCTCTTTTTCAAATGTCTTCATGTGGTGGAGATGTCCTAAGAAGCAGTCTCTTAAACAATCGGTTTTATTTTTTCCAGGGCATTGTCCTCAAGGCCCAGAGAAGATACATGGCTGATAAGACCTTAAAAGGATGCAGTTGTTTGTAAGTATGCAATTGGGGAGAAGGTGTGTATGGGATCTGAGTCTGCACTCATACGCTACTTTCACCATGGGAATATTCCTTCCATTTAACATTCTTCACGTGCCTCCTTGCCTTCTGCTCATTTGACTGGCATAGCACACCTTCCCAGGGGGTTGCTTGCTTTCAGAACACTGCCTCTTGGGTTCCTTTTGCCCAGCAGATGCAGCCGCTTTAGTAACAGAGGAACCTGCCTTAAGTCAAGTCAGATTGTTTGTCTACAGGCTGGCAGGCAAGGGCTCTCCAGGATTTCAGACAGGAATTGTTTCCCAGCACTTTCTGAGAGATGCCAGGGATTGGACTGGGGACCATCTGCTTGCAAAACATACACTCTGCTACTGAGCTGTTGTTCTTCACCTAAAGATAAAGTAAGGTTCTAGTCCTTGTGGTTCTCAGCAAAGGGCTGAACTTGGGGCATCTGCATGCGAAGCTGATTCTCTGACACTGAAGCTATGACTGTTCCCCTGAAGATGGGAACTTCAGTCCAGCAACATTTGGCCTTGAGGAGCATAGGAATCCTTTGCTTGAGGATTGCTTGAGGCATACTGGGAAATGCCAGCAATTGAACCTGAGAACTTCTGCATGCAAATCTGATCCTCTGTTGCTGAGCTACAGCGCCTGCCCCATCCATGGTGGTTTCTTTTAGACCAAGTGTAGCCTTAAGATCTTGCTCCCCAAAACCTGTTGTGGGCACATACCTAATTCTGTTCCATGTGTGGCCACTTCACTGCTCACCTGCGTGGAGTGGGGAGGAATTTAACCTGCAACCAGTTAAACCAAAGCTCTGTTTCTTTTAAGCTTCTTTGCAGTTAGATCTCGCGCCATGCAGGCCTAAGCCAATTATGGCATCTAAAACAAGCCTCTTAAGAGCACAGTGATCGCCATCCACTTAGCTCATGGAAAAAAGGGCAGGTGGGACTATCGGCAGACCTGTGAAGTCTGAGTGGGACAGAGGTTTGGTGCAGAGCAGCCGATGTAAGGCTGAGTTGAATGCCCTGTTCAGAAACAGCCTAAACCATGGGTGGCTAACCTGTGGCCCTTTGGAAGGTGGTGTTAGACCCCAGCTCCCAGGTTCATTGACCATTGGGCCTTGTTGGGGCTAATGGGAATTGGAGTCCAGAGACGATTACTGTGCTGTAGCATGGTGTGCGCAAACCTTAGCATGTGGCGCTTGCCCCTCGTTCTTTAGTGTGACTGCAAGTAAAACATTTGGAAATATTTGGCTGTAAATTGCCCTGGACAAGATAAAGAGGTTGACCCATTAATTAATTAAAATAATATCTCATAGACACATAGAATTTCAGAGCTGGGAGAAACCACAAGGGTCATCTACTCCAACCCTCTGCAACGCAGGACTCTTTTGCCCAAGGTGCAACTCGAACCCGTGGCCCTGAGATTAAGAGTCTCAGGCTGTACCCAGTGAGCTAGTCAACTGCTTTTATACTGAGCCCATCTCCGCATTAAGTCAAAACTCAGAATGTTGCTTAGTGGTTCTTAAGCCACAGTTTGATCCTGGCTTGTTTGAACTAACCATCGTTTAAACCAGGTGTGTGGAATCATAGGCCAAGGCACGATAGGGCCCTCCAAACGTCTCTACCTGGCCTCCTGGGTTCTCCCCAAGCCACACACCTCACTGCCCCAACTTCATACCCTCCTTTTGCTTGGATACGAGGTGTCCGCAAACGCTGCCTCTTATACTTGTCCGCATGGACAGTAGAGGGGAATGTAGAGAATCTCATTACCATACAAAAGTAAACATTTGCATTCATTGCTCTGCTCACTTTTTGCCTCTGCCCTCCACCCAAAAATCACTGGCATGCTTGCCTCTGAAAGGTTCCCTAGAAAGAAAAATAAATCCTCCATATCTCTGGAAATGGAGAACCATGTTTTTCTGTGGGAAACTACAACTTCCACAGTGGCAGACTTGGGGCTTTCAAATTTCAGAAGTGCCCCGTGTGACAGTAAAATTCGGACTCGCCCCCGCCCTTGTGCTCCATTTTACAACATTGTTGCAACACTACCCTAAAACCACCTCTGACTTCCATCATCCCTGTCAATTGACTGTGCTTGCTAGGGCTTATGGGAGTTGTAGTCCAGCAACATCTGGAGGGCCACAGGTTCCCCATCATTGGTTTAAAATGAAGAGTTCTCCCCATCCCTCCGAGTCTGGACACAGCAGGGAACTTTGGTTAGCCCACTTGGACAAAAGATCCCTGCGTTGCAGGCGTTGGACTAGGTGCCCCTCATGATCCCTTCCAACACTCCAGTTCTATGATTCTCTGATTCTAAAAGTGGAAGTGAAATTCTCCAGTCCCCTTGCAGGCTTGCCAGTAACTTGAGAGGCAGATATGTGGGGCAACTCTGGTATATTTGTTTCCTCACTTGATCTGCCCTTGGAATGCTCTTCTTCTTGGCGAGTTGCCAGACCTCAAACTTGCTCCTCTTCTGAAAAGTGGTGTGAGGTGGACTTGGTTCAAACTGACTTCTTTAGGGTTGCCGGCAGCAAAGTTGTTTGCCATCAAGCTGTTTGCTGTCATTTCCACAAGATGCACTTGGGCAAGTGTCTTTTAGCATCCTGTAGGACAATTAATGTGACGCTGCTTTCCCAGGGTCCTTAGAGTGCCAGGGTTTCTACAGAGCAGGACCCCAGCTGTGCAGCAGAGTGTGACCTTTGCATGTGCAGAGTCCTGGGTTCAGTCCCTGTTAGGAGGTTCAGTTGAAAGACCGCTCCCTGCCTAATGCAATGATGGGGACCCTTGCACCTGGGGGCTAAATGCCCCCCTCTCTCTGGCCCTTGGGACTGTCCCTGGGCCACACTCCTCCTCAGCCAGGCCCCGTCTCCCCAGGCCGTTTGCACTGCGCTTGAGTGTTTATGTCCTTCAACTCTGGTGGCTTCTCCTGCTTTCGTGGAAAGAGACTAGAGAGGGGAGTGTGTAGAAACAAGCCTATAGTACAAACATAAAATTTAACATTTGCCCAGAGTGGCTGAGGCAACCCAGTCAGATGGACAGGGTACAAATAATGAAATTATTATTGTTGTTGTTGCTGCACCCGCTTTTACCTCTGGGCTCACCTGCTACTGGCATGTAGCCCTTGGAAAGTTGCCCAGAAGAGAATGCGGCCCTCGGGCTATGATGTTCACCTGCCTTTCTGCCTGCCAAGAGGAAGCTCAGACTCTCCTCTCTCTTTTTCTTCAGTCCCGGCTGTTTTTAACTCTGGTCATCCTGTGCGCCTGCTCCATCCTGTACATCTTGATTTGCCCTTACTTCTGTCTGTCGTTGTGTTGGCTTGGCTGCCGTCACCCGGAAGAGCAAGAAGGAGTCCTGCCAGCTGGTCCTGGAGCTGCCCAGTTTGAGGGTTACATCAGCGTCCCTGATGGGAAGGTGAGTCAAGCCTCTCAGTTATGAAAGCGACCATTGTCAAACCATGGCATTGGTCAATTGAGAGGCACCAATTCAGGTTGCATTGTGGGGTGTCCTCTTCGTCCTCCATGAAGAAGAGAGAAAAGAAACCCTCCCCATAAGCAAAAAGCAGGGGGAGGGTTTTACCTCCTCCCTTATGTGCTTGTTTTCTACTTGCAGGGTTTTTTTTTAAAAAGCAAAACATATGGGGTGGGGAGCATTCAGAAATGTGACTTCCTCCATGCCCCACAGCCGGGCGATGTTCCTCTGGCCTCATGAGGAGCCTCTTCAGTGGGGCTGGTGAGTGTGGGCTGTGAGGCCTGAGGGCCGCTCCCTGCAAGGCCCCTTCCACCTGGCCTAGGGGGCTGGGCCCACACTCACCAGCCCCACTGAAGAGGCTCCTCATGAGGCTGGAGGAACATTGCCCGGCTATTGTTTTATTGATTTAATATGCTGTAAACCACTTTGAGATTTTTATTAAAAATATAAAGCAGTATAGAAATTTAAAAACAAAACAAAACAATCCCTTGCTTGCCCGAAGTGTTTTCGTAGTTCTCACTGGGATGTCAGTATAAACCCTGGATGAATAAAAACCAAAGGCCATGGTGAGACGTGAGAGGTGGGTCCTGAAATATCTCTCTCTCAGATATCAAATGCCAGAGTAAAGATGCATTAATTTAATTTTCACCAAAAAGAAAATCATGCTTCAATAGCATACAAAATTACTCTGTTTACTCCTCCTCACAGTTCACATTTCCTGTGGGCTATTAGTTGCCTAATTGGCAGGACTCCTTTTTCTCCTTCCTTTTCTTTTAAGCTGGCCTCATAATGCGCCACCAGTCAATTGGATATCACCCACTGAACAGGATGACACCACATTACCAGACAGCCAATTAGATCTGGCTGTGTGTCAGTGTCACCAAGCCAGTTCAGAGTGAGATCAGGAAGTGTTACCCTCACTCTGGATGGGGGAATCCCCTCCCTTTCCTTGGTCCAGTTTTCAGATGCATGTTGAATTTCCAAAAGAGGGTGCTCTTTGTAGAGGCAAAACCCAATTCTGTTTAAAACATCTGTCTTCTCCTTTGGCTTGGTTCCTAGATTTAATGGGGAAAAGGAAGCAGTGCAGCAAGGGTAGCCTTAGCCACTGCCTCTGGTCTTCTCTAAGCTCCCTCCAGGCTCAATTCTCTTCTACCTTTAGCCATTGGCCCGAGTGCCATGTCGCCAGTGTGCTGTGGTATCAAGTTCTGGGCAGATGCTGGGTTCGCGTTCTGGGAAGGAGATTGACGAGAAGGAGTGTGTCCTGCGCATGAATCAGGCCCCCACCCAGGGCTACGAGGAGGATGTGGGTGGCAGGAGCACTATCCGGGTCGTTTCTCATACCAGCATCCCCTTGCTCTTGCGGAACCAGAGCTATTTCTTCAAGCAGTCCCGGGACACAATCTATGTTATCTGGGGCCCCACCAGGCTGATGAGCCGGGAGAAGGTGGGCTTGGTCTACCGCACCCTCCTAAAGGTGAAGGAGATGTACCCGAGCCTGCACCTCTACACGCTGACTGACCAGATGATGGTGCACTGTGACGAGCTCTTCCTGCTGGAGACAGGGAAGAACAGGTGAGAGGTGGCTAGAGTGGGTTATCACCAGGCAGGGACCATAATGGTGAAGCACATCTGCCAAGGATATAAGAAGAGCCCGTTGGATCCAGCCAAGGGGGCATGTCCAGCTGTCATGGACTGGTTGGACTCAGAGGAATGGTGGGAGGAACTAGCTGGGGAACCACCAAGGGAAGAAGGCTCAGATTCTTTGCCCAGGGACTGGTGGTGGGAAGACAGTGAGTGGTCCGAGAAAGACTGGAGGAGGTGCCAGAAGCAGAAGAGGGTAACAGGGTTTAGTGAGAAGGGAGAGTGTGCAGCAGAGAGCAGTGCAGAATCAGAGGCAGAAGCTGAAGCAGGAGAGGAGAGAGGCCAAGAGGCAGAGATGAGTCTGGCTGGTGAAGAGGCACAAGTGTCTTCCCCTCCAGTTGCGACAAGCCCTCCTCCACCCTGGTCTCCCAGAACCAGGAGAGGCATGAAGAGGGCAGAGGAGAAGCAGGCTTCTCACAGGTGCAGCCTCAAATTGCTTAGGAAAATCCGTGGAGAAGAGGGGACTTAGGCAGCTGTGGGGAGGCAGGGACCTTCAGTCTCGGCAACTGATTTCCATGGGGGCAAGACCTGCTGGATATGAGTAGCTGTGCTCATGAGGCCTGACAGATCCTGGTTTTGCTAATAAAGAGTTAACTCCAATGTGCTCGGTGTAGTTTACTGCTGGCTAGCTACAGTCACTAGCCCAGCACCCTGAGTCATTGGTCAACCCAATGTCCCAATGGGAAGGCCACAAGCAGGACATAAACACAACACCAAGCAACACCCTGCTTGTAATTCCAACAACTGGTGTTCAGGGCACACTACCTCTGACAGTGGGGAAAGAGCCTAGCCGTTGTGACTGGTAGCTGTTGGTGGCCATGTCCTCCATGAATTGGTCTAATCTGACCTGCATGCAGGAAGTCCTAGGTTTGAGCTTTGGTGGCCTAGGAGTCATCCTCCAGCCCTTTATGATTCTGCACAGAACAAATACTAGCCAAAATGATATGAAAAGTGAGAAACAGAGAGAAGCTGCGATTGACAGATTTGCCTGTCTCTATGTTAGTGTTTGCCTTATCTCTCCCAAATCCACAGGATGAAATCTGGCTCCTTCCTGAGCACAGGCTGGTTCACAATGGTTTTGGCGATGGAGTTGTGTGAGCAGATCTTTGTCTTTGGCATGGTCAGCGAGAACTATTGCAGGTATGGCACAGGGAGGTGGGGTATGAAACAATATGTAAGCAGAGATACACACACATTATTTAAGAATAAGAATAAACATAATAATTGTTCCCTGCCCATCTGACTGGGTTGCCACAGCCACTCTGGACAGCTTCCAGCATATACAAAAACAACAAAACATTAAGCATTAAAAACTTCCCTATACAGAGCTGTTTTGAGGTGTCTTCTAGCTCCTTGACATCTGATAGTGGGTGCATTCCACAGGGCGGGCACCACCACCAATAAGCCCCTCTGCCTAGTTCCCTGTAACTTCACTTCTTGTAGTGAGGGAACCACCAGAAGGCCTTTGGAGGTGGACCTCAATGTCTGGCTAGAGACACTCCTTCAGGTATACAGGGCCGAGGCCATTTAGGGCTTTAAAGGTCAGCACCAACACTTTGAATTGTGCTCAGAAATTTAGTGGGAGCCAGTGAAGATCGTTTAGGATCCTTGTTTCATGGTCCTGGACACTGTTCCCAGTCACCAGTCTAGCTGCCGCATTATGGATTACAGTAGTTTCTGATTCACCTTCAAAGGTAGTGCATTTCAGTAGTCCAAGCGGGAGATAACCAGAGCATGCACCACTCTGGTGAGATAGTCTGCAAGCAGGACGTGGTAGACAGCTGCCCTGGACATAGAATTTACCTTTTGTCTCCATGGGGAGTCCATATTGATTCCTAGGCTGCACACCTGGTCCTTTAGGAGCAGTCACCCCATCCAGGACCAGCAAATCCCCCGCACCTGCCATCCCCCCCATCCCCCAGAAACAATACTTCTGTCTTGTCAGGATTCAGCCTCAATCTTTTGACTGCCACCCACCCCACAACAGCCTCCAGACACCCACACAGGACGTTCACCCCTGCACTGGTTCCAATTTAAATAAGAGGTAGAGCTGAGTATTGGGGACGCGGGTGGCGTTGTGGGTAAAACCTCAGCCCCTGGGGCTTGCTGATCGCATGGTCGGCGGTTCGAATCCCCGCGGCGGGGTGCGCTCCCATTGTTCGGTCACAGCGCCTGCCAACCTAGCAGTTCGAAAGCACCTCCGGGTGCAAGTAGATAAATAGGGACCGCTTACTGGCGGGAAGGTAAACAGCGTTCCGTGTGCTGCGCTGGCTCGCCAGATGCAGCTTGTCACGCTGGCCACGTGACCCGGAAGTGTCTGCGGACAGCGCTGGCTCCCGGCCTCTAGAGTGAGATGAGCGCACAACCCTAGAGTCTGGCAAGACTGGCCCGTACGGGCAGGGGTACCTTTCCCTTTACCTAGAGCTGAGTATCATCTGCATATTGGTGAACCCCCTGATGATCTCTCCTGGCAGTTTCGTATAGTTTCATATAGATGTTAGGGCAAGTGTTGGGCTCCTCTGGCGGATCAAGCAGCTGAGGTGGGGGCACACACCAGGGGTGTGCATGCAGAGAGGATGAACGGAGCCCACCCCCAACAGGCTCCCCACCCACTGTCTCCATCCACCTGCCCACTAGACCAGCCCACCTTCCGCTGCGCCTCAGTTGCCAGGGCTCTATGCCTGTCATGGGGTGCCTGATTGCACCTCCTCAAAAATGTGCGCCTGGGGCCACAACCCCTCTGCCCACCCCCAACACGCTATGTCTCTGCTCCAGAGGGTGTGGACTCTCCTTCCTTGAAGGTTTTTTAGCATTGGTTGAATGGCCATCTGCCATGTATGAGATTCCTGCCTTGCAGGGGAAGGCGTACCTGCATTGCTTGCAGAATCACAGAATTGCAGAGATAGAAGGTCCCCAAAGAATCATAGATTCGTGGAATTGTAGAGTTGCCAGTCACAGGGTCCAAGATGCTTGGTATGGGGGAAGGCGCTCTTTTAAGTACTTGAGTCCCAAGCTTTGAGTTTAGACCAGTAGCTCTCTGGCAACCAGCTTTCAGGACCAGGGGCAACCCAGCTGCTGCCACATTCCGCAATAGCTGCAGCCGTTTCCTTCAAGCGCAGCCCCACTTACAGTGCATTGCAGTAATGCAGATGGGAGGATACATGGGTTCACAGTAGGAGGAGCCACATGGTAGCCCAGCTCTTAACCTGTCAGACGGTGTGGTCCAGGCCGCTTTAAGCATGCAGCAACCCGGTTTTCATTTTCTGTGTTTTTGTCGTCCTTCGATTGGCAGAGACAGAATCCAGCCCACTGTGCCTTACCACTACTTTGAAAAGGGCGAACTGGATGAATGCAAGATGTACCTGACCCATGAAAGAGCCCCCCATGGTGGGCATCGTTTCATCACAGAGAAGGCCGTCTTTTCCCGCTGGGCAAAGAAAAGGAACATTGTCTTCACTCACCCTTCGTGGCCAGATGGGTAGCTGAGGCCCGCGGCAGGCCACCCATGGTGCTATTGTTGTTTTGGTATTTTCTATGAATTCGATCTTCAAACGTTTGTGACGGAAGCCATATTTGTCACTGTTTGGTTCTGCACAAAGTGCTGGCTCCTGCACGCGTGGTTTTCGAAGGGCAATGAGGCATCGGGATGCAGAGCAGCCGGTACAGGGCCTCTTCCATTTCCCTTGGCCGTGTATTTCTAAACTTCCGGTCAAGAGGCAAGGAGTTGTTCTCCTCTTCCTGAACACTGAGTGGAAAGTCCTTCTCATGGGTAGGTGGGAAACACTTTGGAATTATTTTTTTTAAGTGGAGGGATGGAAACATTTCAAATATAGTAGTATATATATATATATTTAAGCAATCCTCACTAGTGTTGGGATTGTTGCGGCCTACTTCACCAATTATGTTTTCTGTGCTTGACACATTGTGTGATGAGAAGTACACCTGGATTAGGCAGCAACGTTTTCTAATGCCTCAGATCCCAGGTAGTTTACCTGATAAAAAGCTCTCTACCCCCTGAGTTAATGGGATCTTGGGAAGCAGACGAGGGGGACGATACAGTAATCTGTTTCCACGATAACTGTTCCTATGTTTTGTGCACTGCTGAGAGATTGCTGAACATCACGTGGTTTAGCAATAAAATGAAATAAAAAAATGAAATGAAATAAACGACCCCTTTCTGCCTGAGACTCTCAGCCTGGACAAAGAAGGCTCACTGCAGGGCTCAGTAGCAAAAACAGCCTTGGCTGCCATGCGGCTGTTTGCTGTGTTTGTGGGTCACGTGGCTCTGTGGGCCTCTCCACTCCTTCCCCACCCCTTCAGCTGCTTCCTCTTATCTCCACCGCCTTCCGTGCTTCTGTTTCCCTTCAGCTGTTTCCGAGAGATTATCAAACATTTTAGAAACCTGAGCATGGAAAGGACTTGACAGTGCATGGCCTTTCTGAGCATGAGAGGCAGCTACTTGGGAAATACAGTGCTGTGCTTCACTCGTCTTGGCTGTTGGAAAACAGGGGTGGGATGTGTACCTTGTCAACCGCAGATGGCCCCCAGGCTAAATTCATGTGGCCCTCAGCTTTATTTTATGCAGGTGACGAGGAGGGGGGAAGTGGGTGGCAGCCAGAGAGAGAAAGCCTTAGTATGGAAGTAGAGAGTGGGGTGCCACACCATGGATGCTGCCCCTCTCTCACTGGCCCCTCTCTCACTCTCACTCTCCCCAACAGGGAGAGGGAAAAGGTGCCCACTCCTGTTCCTGAAGAAATAGCAGCTGCAGCTGGAATTGTGAGAAAGGAAGTCAACGCTTCTCCTGACCCCCACCTACTGCAGTCCCAATTAAAAATAAACACCCTGCCCTCCAAGCGGTCCTTTTCCCTGGGAGAAAGGCTTACCAGTGTGAGCCAGTGTAGTGTAGTGGTTAAGAGCGGTGGACTCGTAACCTGGTGAACCGGGTTCGCTTCCCCGCTCCTCCACATGCAGCTGCTGGGTGACCTTGGGCCAGTCACACGTCTCTGAAGTCTCTCAGCCCCACTCACCTCACTCTGTGCGGCTTCCAAAAAATATATTAAAATACAGTAATCCATCAAACATTAAAAGCCTCCCTAAACAGGGCCACCTTCAGATGTCTTCTAAAAGTCTGGTAGTTGTTTTTCTCTTTGATATCTACTAGGAGGGTGTTCCACAGGGCGGGTGCCACCACCGAGAAGGCCCTCTGCCTGGTTCCCTGTAACTTGGCTTCTCACAGTGAGGGAACCTCTCTGGCTTTGTAGAAGTGCCATGTGCAATGATGATAATGACAATTGGAGCCCCAAAGAGGGCCTCAACCAAGCTATAGCCCTGTGCTCCTTCGGGGGAAGGATGGGATATATAAGAAGAAGAATAGGTTGTTATAGTAGGGCGTGTCATTCTGTCTTCAGTGAGGGGGTCTTAAAGATATTCTTTGGGTGTGAGGACTTCAAATCTGCTATTATTTTTGCGATTTGACAACATTTGGCTGGCTCAGTTTACATTTGATGAAGCACATAAACTGTTTTCAGAAAACCAAATAATTTTATCTTCTGAAATGTCAGGTAATGCTAAACAGCAGTAATATGAATAAATACATAATTATATTAATATTTAACATGCAGTTAAAGTACCTGGCAATCATTTTTAACGATTCCTATGCAATTTTACACACATTTTATTTACGAAGCAAAACTAAATTATATTAATTTAACCAAAATATCTTTTGAATTGCCAAGTCATGTAACAAATTTTTAGCATTCCTCATTTTTGGGAATTTGAAAGTTGAAAAATTCAGCACACCCATCATGCTATGGTAAATGAGGAACTGGAATGGGGAATAGATCAGCCTTTTAACATTTGGTAAGATTATTGTTTATTTTGTTAAATGCATTTCTCACAGTCAAGTGTCTCACTGCTGCCAAGCAGTACATTAAGGATAAAAATAATGTTGGTGTCAGAAACAAAAGTCCTGAACTGCAAATTATTTCAATCCTATTCCTCTCCACGCCCCACAATGAAAATATTACAGCTCTTCTTTCTGAGAAGACTAGAAAATAAGACAGCCACTATCATAATGTCTTTATGGCACTAACACTCAGAATATGGTGATCAGTTCTGGTCACCACACCTGAAAACGATATTATAGAATGGGGGAACTTCCAGAAAAGCGGAACTAAAACAATTGAGGGGCTGGAGCCACTCCCCTTTGAGGAAAGGTTGCCATGATTGGGGCTTTTTATTTCAGAAAGGAAGGTCAATAAACTGAGGAGGCAGGGAACACGATAGAGGCACATAAAATTACACATGGAGTGAAGCAAGTGACTAAAAGTATTTCTCCTCTCACGATGCTGGAACTCATGGAAATCCACTGAAGCTACAGACAAAGAAAGTACTTTTCCACACAGCACAGAGTTGAACTATGGAATTCACTCCCACAAGATTTGATGGCCACGATCTTGGATATCTTTAAAAGAGGGCTGAAGGAATTCATGAAGGTAAAGGCTAATCATGATGGGAAACAGGGTGTTTGCAATTGAGGCCGGCTTCTTTAGAGAAGAATAGCTGTATCACTGGGGCCACAGCTGAAAAGGTCCTGCTCTGCCCTAGCATTCCCACTCTCCAACAATTTGCTCTGCCAAATGGAGGGAGTCATGAAAAGAGCTGGTGGGAGACTCCTACACAAAGAGAAGCAGGTGTGGAAAACCTGATTCTTTCCAGATCTTATTGGATTCCAACTCCCATCAGCCCCAGCCAGCATGACCAATACTCTGGGATGAGGGGAGTTGCATGGTTTCCCCATACCAGCTCTTAAGAAGAGGCATTCCCAGTTGCATGCAAGAGGTGGAGAAATGTGTCTTTAGATGCAGCGGGTGGGGAGCGTGTCTATCCTGATGTTGTGGACTACAATTCCCACTAGGGCCAAGTCATAGTCTGATAATAGGCTCATCCATATTGTTGTTTGACGTTGGTAGTAAGCTTCCTTACCTCCAATCTTCCTCCACTGTTCACATGACATCCTTCAAATCACTGCCTTCCCATACTTTCCCCTTCCTCTTTATGAGTTTTCTCATGCCAGGGATGCTCTGAAAAGCAGAAGATGAGAAAATCCAGATTGAGGAAGTGCAGAAAGGCAGTGATTTAGAGGATGTCATATAGATAATGGGAAATAAATGGAGGTGCAGGAAGCTTGCTATTCACGTTAAATGGCAGTGTTGCATGATCCCAAGATCCTGAGAACCACAGGCTCTCTGTCCCTGCTTTGCAGGTTCATCCTCTGAGGGCAGTGGCAGAGAAAAGCTGCGAAGCAGAAACTATCGAAGCTCAGCTCTCTTCTGCCCTCCCCCATGCATAGTTATCTTCTCTCTGTTTTGAAAAGTACTTTTAAAATTATCTTCTGCGGCAACAATAAACTAGATGAACATTAACCATTATTGGTGTCCTGGTGTTCTTGTCACATTGTCCATTTTCCTTACCAAGTTCATATCCTTGGTTTAAGTCGCCAAAGCATGAACAAATCTATGGATGCCCCTTGAGCCAAAATCCCACATGTAGTTCTGACAAAAAGAATGTTGAGTCTCCATGGCGTCTGCTGCACTCAGCACTCCCCCCATCCCCATGACAGTATGACATGAACAATGCCCTCTTTGTTCTGAGAGGAGAGGGGAAGAACAAATAACTCACTGAAAGTTTGGATTTATTGGGGACTAGGCTCCTCAATTGACCTGAGCCAGGGTGCCTCCTGACAGCCAGTATTTTGTGGGAGGGATCCAAACGCATACTGGAACTTGGGGAGAGGCCCATAGGTAAAGGTAAAGGTACCCCTGCCCGTACGGGCCAGTCGTGACTGACTCTAGGGTTGCGTGCTCATCTCGCTCAAGAGGCCGGGAGCCAACGCTGTCCGAAGACACTTCCGGGTCACGTGGCCAGCGTGACGAAGCTGCAGCTGGCGAGCCAGCACCAGCGCAGCACACAGAAACGCCGTTTACCTTCCTGCTAGAAAGCGGTACCTGGTGGCGATGTGGGTAAAACCTCAGCGCCTAGGACTTGCCAATCACATGGTCAGCAGTTCGAATCCCCACGGCGGGGTGCACTCCTGTAGTTCGGTCCCAGCACCTGCCAACCTAGCAGTTCGAAAGCACCTCCGGGTGCAAGTAGATAAATAGGGACCGCTTACTAGCGGGAAGGTAAACGGCGTTTCCGTGTGCGGCTCTGGCTCGCCAGAGTAGCTTCGTCACACTGGCCACGTGACCCGGAAGTGTCTGCGGACAGCGCTGGCTCCCGGCCTCTTAAGCGAGATGAGCACGCAACCCTAGAGTCTGGCAAGACTGGCCCGTACGGGCAGGGGTACCTTTACCTTTACCTTTACCTTTACCTTATCTATCTACTTGCACTTAAGAGTGCTTTCAAACTGCTAGGTGGGCAGGAGCTGGGACCGAACGACGGGAGCTCACCCCGCCGCAGGGATTCGAACCACTGACCATACGATCGGCAAGTCCTAGGCACTGAGGTTTTACCCACAGCGCCACCCGCGTCATCTGCTTTGCATTCAGAAGGTCCCAGATTCAATCCCAAGCATCTCCTGGTGGTGCTGGAATATTCCCTGCCTGAAACCCTGGAGAGCTCCTGCCAATCAGTGTGCAGTACTGAGCTAGATGAACTAGTGGTCTGACTCAATATGAGACAGCTCCCCATATTCCTTATTGAGGTTTGCACACACAAAGTGAATATTTAGGAGCTCTGCTGCCCTAGTGCAACAAATAAACTTTTTAAAAGCCTCAGGGCTTTTTGCAGTTTGGAAAGTGATAGGAAAATCCATTGAAAAATGCAGGATGGTGCGAAAAAGATCTAGGGGTCTGAGCAGACCACAAATCCACATTGTGATGCAACAGCAAAAAAAACCCTTAATGCTATTCTAGGCTGCATCAACAGAAGTATAGCGTCCAGATCAAGGGAAGTAATAGTCCCACTCTATTCTGCCTTGATCAGACCACTCCTGGAATACTGTGTCCAATTCTGGGCACCACCATTTAAGAAAGATATTGACAAACTGGAACGTGTGCAGAGGAGGGCAACCAAGATGATCAAGGGTCTGGAAACCAAGCCTTATGAGGGGCGCTTGAAGGAGCTGGGTATGTTTAGCCTGGAAGAGAGGAGACTGA